TTATTTTGTTTCAATTTTTTTGAAATTCATGTATAGTTTTTTTATAATACACATTTCCATGAACTTTTTGAACCTCTTATATATTTTTCAACAAGCAAAAATATTTTATGATCCATAACACTTCAGAACCCATTTCCTAGCCAAAATCTGTCAACATATTTTAATTGGCCTTCATCTGTTTTAACTCAGTCTGTTTTCCAACTACAACATAACAGTCCTTAAGACCATTTCTGTAAAAGGAAATTAAAATATGCTACATATATTAGGGAAACAGCCAAGAATACTATTCTCCTTGGCATAGGAATATAAAATACTGAATAATTTATTTTTCCAAAGTAGAGAAACCAATTACAACATCAAACACTACTTTTTTATTTTTTGAAGAAAAAGAGATGTTGTGGATAAGCAGGAGGCCTGTAGCAATTCCGTTTGTTTTTCACACAGCTTCAAATTTTAGTTTAATTCTAAGGTCTGCCCATTTCGTGTTTGTGCAAGGTCTGGAAAATCAATTACTTTAAACATAATCTGCAGCCTTAGGCATTGTGCCAAGCAAGTAACTTAGAGTGCTTTCTTAAGGAAAACTTAAAACTTCTCTGTTTTCTTTTGTATGACCTTACTGAAGCAAATTGTGTATACAATTAATTCATCCCCGGATGTTTGCTATCAAGTCAAAAAGCCAAGAACTTGGATATTCCCTTTGAAACTCAAGAGGATACAGAGACTGACACACTGCTTGTACTAGCTTACTTTTATTCTCCTGAATGCAGATTAGGAATTTAACTGGCACAAATGTAAGGGTGGTTTTGCATGCTAACTTTTCCAAATCTAGCTCATCTTAATCTGAGTCAGTAATTGCTGCATCAATATATCCATGTTTCTTAAATAGACTGTGAGAAATTCTCAAATGTCCTGAAAAAAAAAGGCACCATCGCACAATTTAGTTTAAAGGACAGATATTTCTTCAACATTTGTGGTTGGCTCTTTTGTCTTGTATTTTTCTTAAAAGTTGTCCTAATGCAGTATCTTGCTTTTTGTTGGTACCTGACAAATCTCGGTTGAAATGAATTGATAGACATTCTTATTTCTAATAATATCCTTTTTCAGGCAGAAGAACCAGAGATATTTTTATTTTACTATGAGTGAAAATAAGACATACACCTATGAAGATGGTGGATTGGGTTCTTCACCAGTAGAGTTGGAGAAAGGTTTGTCTGAATTCTCAGCTATTTCTGTGATTCTTTATTTATTCAAGGATACAATGGAAAAAACAAGTAATAGTGTCTTAAGTGAAATCAGAATTCTTAAGAGGTATTTCCCATTGTAGAAGAAGTAAATAGGCTCTGAAACAAATTACTCAATATTCATGAAGAACTGATGGTTACTCTGAATCTACAATGTAGACAGTTATTAGTTTCCATATGTGATTTCATTCATTCATTCAATGAGTGGTATATGTACTTACTAAGAACTGGGTAGAGCACAGCTTGAGTTATGACCTGTTCCTGAAACAGGTAATAGTTTATTTGATTGCAGACCTTATTCACATGTTTATTTAAATTCAGAATTCTGAACTCCTGCTATACCACGCACTATGTTATGTATTAGAGATATAGCAGTGCACAGAATAGACATAATTTCACTCATCAAGCTTACAGTGTAGAGTGTGACACAGGTATTTAGTTTAAAAATCACATAAACACATTTATAAGCATAAACTGCTTGGGGTGAGAGAGAGAGAGGGAGAGAGAGAGAGAAAGAGAAATATATTAATAGGGGATCTAATTTTATCTTTCAGAGATCTTCTCTTAAAGTCAATTATAAGCTTGGACCTAAGATGACCAGAAGTTAAACAGGCAAAGTATAAGAAGAGCTTTTCTGTTCAAGAGAAAAGCATATGTAAAGCACTTAAGATGGAAGAGATTTAATGCATTTTTAATCAAAAAAAGGCCAATGTGAATAGTGTGGTCAGCAAAGAGTAGAGTAAAATGAGGCATTCAAGAGGCAGGCAGGGACTAGATCATGCAGAGCCTGAATGCCATTTAATGACTTTGCATTTTATCCTAATGCAAAGAGGAGGAGGGAGGGAGGGAGAGAGAGAGAGAATCTGATCTGTGTTTTTAACAGATCACTTTGGCTTCATTGAGAAGCCGTGTGGACAACAGAGGGAGCGGTGGAACCAGATAGAAAGCTATTTCAGCTGGGAGTTCATGAGGACCTGAATTAAACTGTTGGAAACAGAGAAGAGTGAACAGATTTGAGATACATTTTGGAGGTAGAATCAACAGGACTTGAACATCGACTGAATGGTAGATGTAATAGAGAATATCTGTTAGGCATGCTTCTAGGTTTTTGGTGTAAGCAATGAAGTAGATGTGGGTGCATTTACTGAATTGATAAAGTATGGAGAGTGAGAAAAGTGGGGTGAAATGAAGATTTTCTGCATCAGTGTAATGGTGACAAGATCATTAAAATGAGTGTGTGAGAATATGCCGTGTGTGTGTGTGTGTGTGTGTGTGTATGACCTTTCCCTGTGAGGATAAGAGAGAAGACAAAAAAAGGGGGGGGGGTTGTGATAAAAGAGGACAGAATTAGGAGAAATAGAAAATGGAATTCCCCAAGTGAGGGGTGGTAGGTGGGGACTGACGCTTATCAAAACTAGTTGCTGAAACTGTATATTTGAAACAGATCTATTCAACATTATACTATACATTTTTATTTGAAAATGAAAAAGGAACCCATGATATTTATAATAGAGATTACAGAAAGTAAACTGAAAAGCATCATATTTGGTGGGTCCGCACAGAGGGTAGATTTTACCAATGGCTGATGGTCAAATTTTAAGAAAGGATTCATGAAAACCTTCAGTGGGTAGAGGAAACAAATGTAACTTTTTTCTGATTGTCAGAAAGGAGTGGGGTTAAACAAATCACTGACACTGAGCCAAAGGAAGAGAGATGAGAAGTCAGGGTAAAGGATAGAAGAAGAAAAATGGGTGGAGGAGTTTTCCAATGAGCAAAATGTTTCTGCCATCATGCCTTTGTCGATGCAAGGTCTGCTAGGTCAGTTGTTATCTGCGTTTGAATCCCAGCTCTGCCACTTCCTAGTGGATGATCCTGGGCAAGTAAGGAAACTTCTCAAGTCTCAGTTTCCTCACTTGTGAAGCAAAGGTAATGATAACTATCTCACAGGGGTATTGAGATAATTAAATAATTCATGGGAAGTACTTAACAAAGTGCCTGGCACTGAGGAAGAGCTCAATAAACCTTAGCTCTTACGCTGCCTAATTACTAAAACTCATCATTGTAGCTATATTTACATTCTCACCTCCCTATGGTTTGGAGACTTTGCCTCATCCACCTCAAAATGGTATAGTTCACTGTCTCAAGAAGTAGTTTTCATGATTTGTTCAAATTATAGGAAGACTTGGGACCAGGGTTGTAGTTGATGAGTTCAGCTGCTGCCTGCAATGCCAGCAACCCATATCAGAGTGCTGGTTCAAGTCCCAGCTTCTCCACTTCTGATTCCGCTCCCTGCTAATGTGCCTGGAAAAGGAGCAGAAGCTGGCTCAAGTACTTGGGGTCTAACACCCTTGCGTGAGACCTAGATGAAATTTCATGTTTCTGGCATTGGTCTAGCCCAGCCCTAGCTATTGTGGCCACTCTCTCTCTCTGTCTTCTAACCCCATCCCCCCTCTCTGTCACTGTGCCTTTTGAATAAATCAATAAATCTTATATATAAACACACACATACATACTTGATTCATATTTATAAAGCATCCAGAAATACTATTGGGCTTTAATTGTTGCAAATTAGTAAAAATGTTCCAGTTGGTTACATAGTCAAAAGTATGTTTTCTCATTTATTTCTAAAAATGTTGGATATAATTAGACTTTTTAAATTTAATTCCCTTAGAGAGATAAGCAATTGACTTCTTAGTTTATTCTTTGAAAATATAACAAAATACAGATGGTGTTAATAAGGAGGTCCTTTTGATCATATATTTTCACTTTGAATCATCTCAGCCCTAATAATATTATGAAGATGTTCTATCTGAAAGCATAACTATAGACTTCATTATGAATAGGAGCATTACAACTGAGATATGGATATAGACTTAATTGTGGATTCTATCTTTCTTACTCTCCTCTTGCTCTGATTCTCACTAAGCGGTAAAGACAGGAAGATGGGATTTTTATTATTTACCACACATGTGCTTTAGAATATTAGCATAAAATTGTGTCCAAGCATAAGACTTTGAGTGCTTTGTTTACCAACTTGTTCAGGAGAGACTCAAAACGTTGTAAGGCCAAATCTGGACTCCACATTTAATGGCCAGATCACATTGAGGGCAATGACTTCATCTCTCTGAGCCTCTATTTTTAAATAAAAGATGGGGGTAATTACATAAGAGAACATACCTATACATAATTCCCTAACATAGCACAGTATAAACACTGAGTTTATCGTTATTATGGTTAGTTAGAACCAACTAATTCTGTAGCTTTGGACAAAGTACTTAATGCCTTGAAGAATCAGTTAAATGGTGATATGGTTTAATATGTTTGTTAAAATAGTAAATGGTGGTAATCGTACCTACTTTCTAGGCTATGTTGTGCATGGAGCATGGTGAGCACTGATTAAATATTATTCAAAAATTACTCAATATATGTTCACTTTCAGACTTCTGTATGACAGAAATGGTGCTAATTAAATTTGAAAATTAATTCTTCTAGAAAAATATAATTAACATCTTATTAAAATGTATAAGAACCACGAATATGTGGAGCACCAAGTAATCATGTCTGAGTGCTCTGTGTTCACACTAAGATGAAAATGGCAATGCTCTTAATTTTGCCCATTGCCCCAAGGGAGCAAAACATCTCTCCACCTTGAGGAAGATGCTGGGTGCAAGAAAAGTGAGCAGAGGAGGATTCTCCCCATTCATCTTTGTGGAAGCACATGCAGTTTGAGAAGATGAAGTGAGGAAGCGCATGCAGTACCTGGTCATCTCAGAGTCAGGGAGCAGGCCTAGGTGGTAGTGGGGATAGGGAGTTGAGAGGAGGAAGCTTTTGTCACACTCAACAGGGGAATAGTGCCTGGGAGAAGCAGGCTTATCACACAGTTTGTTCACAGTGCTGTAAACAGGTTCCGGAGGCCTGGTGATACAAGAGGAAGAGAAGATATGCATGGTTAGCACATATAAAGAACAACTGTGCAACTAGTAGCATTTTACCATACGTAAAAGTAAAAAATCCAAAGTGATTTCAATCACTCCATACTTGTTACTAATGCAAACAGAATTTTCCACCGGTCACTGTTCCAATAATGAAGACTTTTCTCACAGCCTCTCTTGTGGGTAGATGTGGTCCTGTGAAACTGCTTAGTCTAATGCAAATTGAGATGCAATTTGAGCACATGGGTTTTGTAGACTATTGGGATGATGGCTTATAGGGAACTGATTCAACTGGGACCCATGCAACTTTTCTCTTTCATACTTCCTTCCTCTGCTGACCTGGAACCCAGATATAAGGACTGGAACTTCAACAGGATCTTGGACCACAAGGCAATCTTGAAGATGAATGTAGAGTTTTTACATCACTGATGATATGGAGTGACACTATCCCACTGCAGGACTACCTGTCTCTGGAGTTCTTTTATATGTCACAAATATACACAATCTCATGGAAGCAAGTGTCATTTTTCATGATATAAACAGGACATAATATTAATAAACTTAAGGCTGTGAACTTAATAAAAAGAAATAACTATAGATAATGCATCTCAAAAATGATAACATGTTTACTTACATTTGTAGCCCATTTAACACTCTGTATTCACTGGAATACCATTATATTACTATATAATTTAGAGCCTATGATGCTCTAGTGAGCTCAGTATTTCTTCAATTAAAAGTATTATTATACATAAAATGATTGCTGACCTAAACTGTCAGCACAGGACCTTAGAAGGAAAGAATCAAAAACTTCTTTTAGGTCATGAAACATTTTCATAATGATGTTATTTCTGTTGCATTGTACTTTCTGCCTAGAAGGGCTGATTCAATTTTGTTGTTTACTCTGCCGACTAAAAACTGATGTTACCAATTTTCTCCTAGTCCTTTTACCTAAGCAGCACCATATTTTGGACAAAATTTCAGAAGCAAATCTAGATAATATACATATCTTAAAGTTCCTCGCCAGCGCCATAGCTCACTAAGCTAATCCTCTGCCTGCGGCGCCGGCACCCCAGGTTCTAGTCCCGGTTGGGGCGACGGTTCTGTCCCGCTTGCTCCTTTTCCAATCCAGCTCTCTGCTGTGGCCCAAGAGTGCAGTGGAGGATGGCCCAGGTCTTTGGGCCCTGCACTCGCATGGGAGACTAGGAGAAGCACCTGGCTCCTGGCTTTGGATTGTGGCCACTTGGGGGGTGAACCAACGGCAAAGGAAGACCTTTCTCTCTGTCTCTCTCTCTCTCACTGTCTAACTCTGCCTGCCCCCCCCCCCAAAAAAAAAAAAAAATTCCTGGCCGGTGCTGTGGCTCACTAGGCTAATCCTCCACCTGTAGTGCCGGCACACCGGGTTCTAGTCCCAGTCAGGGCGCCGGATTCTGTCCCAGTTGCTCCTCTTCCAGTCCAGCTCTCTGCTGTGGCCTGGGAAGGCAGTGGAGGATGGCCCAAGTGCTTGGGCCCTGAACCCACATGGGAGACCAGGAGGAAGCACCTGGTTCCTGGCTTCGGATCAGCGAGGCACACCAGCCGCAGCGCACCAGCAGCAGCGGCCACTGCGGGGTGAATCAACGGAAAAAAAGGAAGACCTTTCTCTCTGTCTCTCTCTCTTACTGTCCACTTTGCCTGTCAAAAAAAAAAAAAAACTTCCTAATTATATTGTATTGAACTGAATTAAGGGAAAATATTTCACTTTTTTTTTTTTTTGACAGGCAGAGTTAGACAGTGAGAGAGAGAGACAGAGAGAAAGGTTTTCCTTTTCCAGTGGTTCACCCCCACAATGGCCGCTGCAGCTGGCACACTGCGCTGATCTGAAGCCAGAAGCCACGTACTCCTCCTGGTGTCCAACGTGGGTGCAGGGCCCAAGGACTTAGGCTATCCTCCACTGCCCTCCCGGGCCACAGCAGAGAGCTGGACTGGAAGAGGAGCAACCAGGACAGAATCCGGCGCCCCGACTGGGACTAGAACCCGACGTGCCGGCACCGTAGGCAGAGGATTAGCCTATTGAGCCGCGGTGCCGGCTGAAAATATTTCACTTTTAACACTTAACTCCACACAATGAAAATGTGTTGAACATTGCCCAGAGTTGAACACTTGAAATATGTACCTGCATCTTTTTGGAACCATATTATGGATGTAATATAATATGATTCATGTATTGAGTAGATTAGGCATTTTGGGGAGTCTCTAATACTTTGGACTTTAGAAGGAGGTACTTATTTTTTTTGTTTAGAGTCACTTCAAGAATAGTGGATTGATTATTTGCCTAAGCTCAGGCACTCATCATTCAAAATCTTAGGAACACAGATGTAGATACTGATATTCCAAGAATCTTTTTCCCTTATTTAATTTCTATTCTTTCCCTACTTTTTTATTTCTTATTTTATACTGTCATTGACTAAAGAGTAGATACATTGAATTTGATTTCTTATGAGAACAATTGATATCTAGCAGATATGTAGGTAAAAAAATAGCCAAAGACAAAAAAATTGACAAATTTGAGAAAGCTTATCTTGACAAAGTACTGCTGTGGGGAGCAACTGGGAGCAACTGGGACTAGACTAAGTTACTGGAATTAAGACTTATTCTATGCATCTGCTCTCCCACAATATGGTGCTGGGAGAGGAGCAAACAGCTTCTACCCAGCTGCCTTTCACCAACTTGACAAGCTGCAGGAGCTGCTCCTGATTGGAGGAGAGCAACGTACTCGGCGTGTGGGTAGCAGAATTGGGATTGGTGGAAGAGGACTATAAAGGAGGAGAGAGACAACATGCACCAGGAACATCTAAGGGGAACACCTGAGGAACATCTGAGCAGCCCCCGAGAGAGCCGGCCGGTGGTGTGCCGCTCCCCTGCGGAAGTGGGGAAAGTGGCAGGGGGAACCGCCCTTCCACGGAGGTGGAAGGGACGGCAGCCAACCAGGGAAGAACCAGCAGCAAACCCGGGGAGGGCCGAGCAGACAAAAGAACAGCGCAGGGTCCTGTGTCGTTCCTCCACGAAGAGGGGGAGCGACAACTGCAACCAGACAACAAAATTAATTATCAGAGAGAATCTCTTTTCAAGTAGCATAAAAATAGAATTCATAGCTGAAAGCCAGGTGGCCACATGGCCCAACTACCTGTTGTCAAGCTCCACCCCCATCCTAATGGGATTCACTGCTCCTGCTTCCCTGCCCACCCTCGGGCAAAGTTTTAAAAGGACCTGTTCCTGAACGCGCGCTCTCTTGGCTCTTCTCTCCTGCTCTCTTGGCTCCTCTCCTCTTGTCTCTCTTCTCTCTCCTCTCTGTCTCTCTCTCTTACAGTTTTTGCATTCTTACTCTTTTGCATTCTTCACCCCTTCCCTCCAGCCTGCTGGCTTTTTCCCAATAAACCCTTTACCTTACTCTGGTGTTTGGTGTGTTTTGTGATGGCATAACAGAAATACACAACATTGGTGCGCTGGATGGGAAAACCTTACATTGGTGATCCAGCGTCCCCCAGTGACTTTGCTCTCCCTTTGGAGACCTCTGAGTTACTCTGGGGTCCTGGATCTCTGCCAGTCACAAAACACACCCCTGGAACTCTTTCCACGCCACCAAATGCTCCACAATCTCCATCCATACATCAGCCTTCCAAATTCTGAGGTAAGACATGGAATGGGAAATTCTCACAGCAACTCTTTGAGTTGTGGTCTACTGTCTACTTGCCTGACTCTCATAAAAGTCGTAGTACTAGACACTAACCACAACTCCTACTTAAGGCTTTTAGTCTCTACAGACACTGTGTTTGGGCAACAGTGGGTGTGAGTGACTACTCAACCTCTGTTCCCCTTTTACAGGCTAAGCCATGGGCCCCAGTGGGCACTTGGGTGATGACCCCGCCTTCTGCTCCCATATTCTCTCATTAGTCAGACTTCCAGGATTCAAGGACGCTTGCAATCCATGGATCTGACTCTACAGGTCACAATGGGAACTTTTCTCTAACTGCGTTTCGTCCGATTAAGTAATATGGCCCCTCTCAAATTGGCTCCAGCCCTCAAACGTCGATGCTCATCTTTAAAGTGGCCCTTCCACAGTGGCATGTGTGGCCCTGAGGGATTGGCTCAAAGTTGGAGTGGTTTGACCCTGATAACATTCAAGATCTTTATCACTTCTGTGAGCATTCGGGAAAGTGGAAGGAGATCCCATATGCTCAAGCTTTTCTGTCTTCCATCTAAACCTTCTATGTGTACTGCTCTCTGGCTGAGGTCCTATCAGCCTCCAAAGTTTCCACTAGAGGTCTAGGGCCTAAGCCAAAACCCCTGCCTTCCACTTTTGTGGCTCCAACTTTTCACTATCTCAGCTCACTACACCTCCCCCTCCCACCCAGGAATTTGGACTTTATCTTAGAACCAGGCCTGGCCCAAAGTCTACTCTCTGTCTTATCAGTTTGGGAATGATTGTCTCCATGCTTTCATTCTCCAGCCCTTGTCCTCCAACTGGTCTTTTGTCGCTCTTTTGTTCTAGTTCTACCATAAGAATAGCGAGGGAGTGGTAATCCCATCCTTTTGGGCTCCCTGCTTTTTGAGAAACATATTAGGTATCCCACTCCTCTGATGTCTCTTTTGATTTGTCCTGAGCAAGCCAGACAGGAAAGTCAGTTTTGGTGCATTGAACTCTGGCCTATCCTCACCTTTGGGAACTTTATGGCAGCTGCCTGAACTCTTGTTTCAGAAGCAGCTGACTGACTATGATGTCATGGGCCTAAGGTAATCTTAGGAAAAAGGCAGCTGTAACTAGACTCTGTGTTTGAAGGAATTTCTCTTTGAATCTAGGAAGATCACTAGCTTTAAAAATATTGTTTTGTAACTTGCTGAGCATATTTTTGCTATTTATTTTAACAGGTTTCCAGGTAGTCAGTACTCAGTGAAACAGCAATGGGTAATTAGTACTTGTTTTAGATGATGCAATTTTAATTT